CATTTAGCTCATGATTGCAAGATTCACTGCAGTAAGATAACTACAGGCAGCTGACTGCAGAAAGCCCATTTCAGTCAGTGAAATGATGGTTCTCTACATAATTCAGAGGACATTTTGTCTCCAATGTCATCCTAATAAAACTATTATGGTTTCCCTTGTGTTCTTTGAAATAGTTTTCTACTAAGTATAAATTTGAACTTGATTTAAATGGAGGTGAGCCAAGAAATCATTCACTCTGTAATTAATGCAGAAATAAAATGCTGGAATAATTAGCAGAGTTTTCCCTTTTCCTGTCATTCACTTGGGGAAGTTGTTGGGAAATCTGTCCCATAAAGATCATGGTGGTTGACATGGCACTCTAATAGCAATTTCTACTAAAAGTTCATGGGACAAAGTTTCTTTCTATAACCATGAGTGTAATACTGAGAGAAAAAAAAAATCCCACTGCCTGCATACACTTATATTTTAGAAGGAGGATGAAAATAAATGAAACAACATGGTAGGTCTGAAAGCTATTGATTTTCTTTTTTTTTAAAGATTGATTGATTGATTGATTGATTGATTGATTTATACAAGCACTGGGTACAGTCAGAAGTGCGGGAGGGTGAGAGAATTCACCAGAGCCAGAGGGGAGAGCAGAGCAGGCAGAAGGACCGAAGTACACTGCTGAGGGGAGCAGCGGGCTGCAGGAGAGGTCTGCGCGCCATGTGGGACCCTCCTCCGGTGGCTGGGGAGCAACTGGGGATCGAACCGGCGCCATGGAGGCTTTGGGCAGCCTCGCAACCCAGCGCTCAACCGCTGCACCACCGGGGAGGCCCGACTATTGATTTTCAATTCAACAAATAACTATATAAAACTATGAATATATATGATGTGAGATACTTTTGAAGCCCCTTAAAATCCTTTTAAAAATGTTTTTAATAATTCAGATGTATTAATTACTCCAGGGGTGATGTATTAAAAATGCAGCTACATCACATACTGGAAATCTACATAGCTGAAATTTTATCAACAGAAAATCACATAGTAAAAAAATGAATAAAGTGGTACAGTGATCTGAAAACATCTTTACAATATCTTTTAAAAAGTTTCATATTTGAGTAATAAAGATATCCACAAGACTTATTTTTTTCAGAGCTATTTTACCTGGCATTTTAAATATATAGATTTTTAAAGAAATATATGGAGTGCTATACATTCTACCTTTATTAAAAATGATAAATATTTCTTCATGTATATTTTGGTTGGCTTCTGGATTTCCTCTTTAGTTAATTGTGTGTTCACATCTGCTTCTCGTTTCTTAATTGGGTTATTTGTTTTATTAACTGTTGAATATATGAGTTTTTATATAACTTGAATATTAACCCCTTATTATATATGTTGTGCAAATATTTTTTCCCATCCAATAGGGTGTCTTTTTGGTCATCTTGTACTTCCTTTCTCTGTATAGAAGTTTTTTATTATTTTTAAATGGAAACCTACTTTATCTGATATAAGTATCACTGTCCCTGCCTTTCTTTGGGTCCCATTTGCTTGTAGACTTGTTTTCCAACCTTTTACTTCAAGCTTATATTTATCTTTGGAGCTCTGGCACATTTCCTAGAGACAGCAGAAATTGGGATTTTTTTTCCTGTTCCAACCAGTCACTCAGCGCCTTTTGATTGGTGAGTTCAATCCATTTATGTTTAGCATGATTATTGATACAGAAAGACCTACTACTGCCATTTTATCTTTAGTTTTCTGGTTCTATTTTTTTTTTTTTTTTTTGGTGGACATTCTATGATTAGCTCTGAGAGCTCCTTTCAACATTTTTCGTTCTATAGCATTCTCGGCTGGCAGTTTTTATCTTTAAGTATTTTGTATACATCATTCCATTCCCTTTGCCTATAATGTTCCCTCAGCAAATTCAGATCTATGCCTATTAGAAGACTGTGTTAAATTTGTGTGTCATTTTAGATAGGAGAGTCATTTTGATTATATTGATTCTTTCCATCTGTGAGCATGGGCTATCCTTCCATCTCCTGCTGCTAAGTTCTTTGGTATTATAGTTCTCGTTGTAGAGTTCTTTTTTTTTTTTTTAGCAACTCTGTTTTCAAATTTATTCTTTTTTTTTAATTAATAATAAATTTTATTTTTATATTCCCCATACAATTTCAACCCCCCCATTCTGACCTCAGTCCCTCCCCTCCTGCCCCCCACCCCACAAAAAGTGTCTCTGGTTCATAGTTTTTTGTTGATTTTGATTTTCACTTTCTTACAGTTATTCATTTTCCTGGTCCCTTATTTAAGTTTTCTAGATTCCTGCTATGAGTGAGACCATCCGGTATTTTTCTTTTTCTTTCTGGTTTATTTCGCTGAGCATGATCCCTTCCAGCGCCATCCATGTTGCTGCAAATTGCATGTGTTTATCGTTGTAGAGTTCTTTTACCTCCTTTGTTAATTTGATTCTGAGGTCTTTAATTCTTTCTGAAGCAATTACAAATGGAGTTATTTTCTTCTTGTTCATTGTGTGTTTGTTCATTGTGTGTTTTGTCTGTTGATTTTGCCTGACATTTTGCTGTTCATTTATTGTTTCTAATAATATTTTGATGGAATCTTTAAGATTTTCTGTATGTACATCATATCCTCTTATCAATAGTGATAGTTTCACTTCTCTTTTTCAACTTGGATACCCTTTATTGCTTGCTTTTGCCTGACAGCTCTGACCAAAACTTATAATACTAAATTAAACAGAATGAACCAAATGTTTCTCATCTTAAAAGAAAAGCTCTCCATTTTTCACCATTGAGTATTATATGGGCTGCTTGTTTATGATATATAGCCCTTATTATATTGACATATATGTTCCTTCTATTTTCATATTGTTTAGGATTTTTATTATAAATGGGTGCTGAATCTTATAAATGCTGTCTCTGTATCTGTTAATGCTATGATTGTTATCTTTGTTTGTTGAACATTAATTGATTTATGTATATTAAACTATGCCTGAATCCCTACATAAATCCCACTTGATCATAGTATATAATCCTTGTGATATATACATTTGGAGAAAACAATACCATATTGTTTATTGACTTCTCATCATCTACAATAAGGTGATTCAAAATGAAGTTGAAATTTTCCCAGTAAATTCCCTCAGTCACATATTCTCCCATCTTATGTATTATTACAATGTTTGGGATAACACAGGGTGAATTAAGTCAGAACTAAATTCCACTATTAGCTAGCATTTCTCATTGTTTTTGTTACTCAATATGTATCATGGGGTAACTTATTAAAAATGTGGAATCTCAATCTTTATACATACAAAATATGAATTACATTTTATGAACCATGTGTGATTTATAGGATATTAAATTTTAAGAAATACTGTTTTATGTAATTTTGGGCAGGTTATTGAATTTGTGTCTTTGGCTTCTCTTCAGTTGAATGATGAGCTACTTGATAATGTATAGGAGCATCTAAACTGTAAGGAACTTGTAATACTGATTAGCAGTTTAGAGCTTGGATTCTGGAACTAATGTGTCTGAATTTGATTCTCTGCCACTTGTACAGATTATATAACTTCTCTGTACCACAATTTCCTCATTTTAAAAATAGGGGTTGTAATTGTAGACATTTCATGAATTTGTGGTAAATAATTGAATTAATATATATATATGGTTTTTAGGTTGGTGCTTGGTAAAGAACAAGACAAATATTAGCTCTTATTATGAGTTAATGTTCTTGATGACTAACATTCTAGAATATATAGAGATGCCAATTGACCTACCTTTGAAAGATACAAGTGAGGTCATTTTGTTAGTGTGAATTTGAAGAACTGAGGAAAACACTATAGAAGTAGTGGGAATTAAGAATGATTTTATAAGATAGCTAAATTTGGGGATTATTAGAGACAAAAAACATTAAAAGCTTTCCATGTGAAACACCCGTAAGTAGAAATAAGTATTTGATGAGGAAGAGAAGAAATCAGAGAATGAAGTCTGCTAGATGCCAGGAATTTTGAGGAAGGTATGGGGTGACAAGAGCAGACAAGGTGTTAGACATTTGAGAATCCAATATTGGATCCTCTTGATACCAGACTTTAAAAATATCGTTTTTAAATATGAGAAATAGAGAATGTTTATGTAGTTATTAGGTACATATGTATTTTTCTTAAAATAGAATAAAGTGATACTAGAACATACTAATAAGCTGGATGGCTCAGCAGCACAGAGAGCAAAAGGAAGAAGACCCAAGATTTAGTTATTAGACACGGGGCATATGTAGGTGAGGAGGGATTGCAACTCCAGTATTTTAAGGACCAGGAATGTGATGTGTTTGGCAAACATGGAAATAGCAGAAACATAACTGTTTTGAGGAAAATATATGTTTGATTTTGGAAGTGTTGAGTACAGGTAATAACACATATCCAATAAAAGATTTGGCAGTTGCAGTTAAAAAAAGCTCCAGAACAGTGCCAACATACTTTTTTCTCTTTTATTCATATACATCACTAGCATCAGTACAAAAGTAAAACCATAAAATTCAAAATTGACAACATCTTTATTTTCTTCATATATTTCAAATTCTCAGAATTTCTGGCAAAATATTTTTTGAAGTGAGTCTAGACTAAATGAATTACAGTTTTGGTATTTTTGTGAGTCAATAAAACAACTTGAAAGAGAATTAGCCTTGGTTCCATTATTCTGGTCCCTGGACAACATTTACACTCAGCCTCAAAGAAAATAAGAACAAATGAAATAAGTAGACTTCAGACTTTTCCAAATGCTACACAACTGAAAAGGAAAGATCTTAATTGTTTTGTCCAGGAAATAGCTTAGCACAAATTCATTGTCCATGAGATTATTAGTCATCCTTAATGTTTACCTGTCGATTGCCTTTAATGAAAGAGGAGCAGAAAAATTGATTGGGAGGTGGCATGTGTGTTATCATAATGCTGATCATTGGGTGAAAAGTGCATTTATGAGCAAATCTGGTAATGCCTAGCAACTGTTTCTAGGCAAAGGGTGGCTAGGATACAGCTGTTGTTGCCTTTCAGGAGCTAACAGCCTATTTCTACACACTTTATAGGAAATCTGTTTTGGATTATTTGGAGTCAAGCTTTCAGGTACAGTTTTTCTCATAACTATTAATATTAAATATTTTACTTTTTAGTGATTGATATAATCAACCTAATATTATTACTTTTTATCTTTGAATGTAAGTATACAGATTTTTTAATTACAATGAATTATGATGTCTGAAGTAAGGAGATTTTACATTTTAAAAACCACTCTTGTCTGAGTCCTTTTAGCCTGAACGCTGACACATTCTGAAGTGGTCTAGGTCTAGACCTAGATTTACATCTACTTCTGAGCGTATAAGAGATGATAGTAAACATGCCGCTGAATGTTTCAGTATTTAGCTCTTCTGAAAAAATCCATCCCCAGCCTTCTTAGTATAGTCACCACTACTTTCAACACTGATCATTATTTCTTTTCTTGTCCCTGGCCTTGCAGCTCGATGTAGCTCATCTAAATAGCAGGGAGTGGCAGTTTTCAGAGACACTGCATAACGCCAGATAACTTGAGGATGGGTAGAGAGGCCTATTGGTAGAGAAGACTCTCCAGGAGAAGAGTGCCCAGAAAACTACAGGCATGTAGTCAATACCATATCTTTGTACTGGTTGAGTATTTCCTGATACCGCTGAGCAGCTCAGCCCCTCTAATTCTGTCCAGGATGCTTGCTTGTTCCCAGAGTCCCCGGAATACTTTTCCGAGAATACATTTATTTAACTCAGTCATCTGTTATCCCCATGACTTGCTTGAAAGTCTCACTCCCTTTCCTTGCTCATTTTCTGCTGTCCAGTCTTTTATCTTAATTCCACATGACTCCCTGAAAGCCCTGTTTCTTTGCAAACACAATTCCTTTAACCTCTTCACAGATAGTCCATTTCATCTTTTAGTTGAAACCCCAAGGACCTTACTTCATTTTCAGCCCCTCAAACAGTGCTTGCTCTTAGTCCATAACCATAACCACATAAACAGAGCCAAGAAATCAGTTGTCATCTTGTTTAACCTGGCCAGATCTTTCCTTTTTATTTTCATGAGAAGTCTCTTTTCACTTGAGAGACAATATACAGTTAAAAGCACAATATTTGGGGTTGGAACTATATTTTGGGATGTTGGGTAGACCACCCAACATTTCTGAGCCTCAATTTCCACATCTGAAAAAGGGGATAACATTATTTTTGTGAGTTTATGAAGTTTGCACTTATTCATTACTTTCACATATCATTACTGATTATTGTGTGCCAGGCATTTTTCTAAGCACAGTAGAAAACAATTCTGACCTCCATGAAGCTTAGAGTCTCTAAGTAAATATATATATATATATATATATTTAATTATAATATATAATTACCAAATCCTATATGGAAAAAAATACAGAGAGTACTAGACAAAGGTTTAATTCAGAGGATGGAATGATAGATAGGAGGAAAGTTCAAAGGAGGTGACATTTAAAATGAGAACAGCAGGATACATCGGATTTAGGCAATGGAGCAAGATATGGGGAGAGTATTAAAGGCAAAGGGGCAGTTTGACACATTCCGGACACTGAAAGAAGCCATTGTGAGAGGGAGAGAATGTCACAAAGTGTGGCTAGAAATGTAGACTGGGGATAAATTTTTTAAAATTTATTTTTAACTGAGATAATATTGGGGTACCTCATCAGGTATTACCCCCATAGTTCACCCACCACCAATTCATCCATAGTCCACCCCCCTAGACCATTGTGCTTCCTTCTTTGTTCCTTCTCCTCCCAGCCCCTCCCCGCTTGGCATGTTAGTTCTGTAGTCAGCTATCAAGGTCATTTCTTTGGCTTGTCTTTCTCTGACTGTTAAGTCACTTACTTTATATTCCACATGTTAATGACACCATCTGGTATTTATCTTTCTTCTTCCAACTTCATTTAGCATTATCCTTTCATGTAAAAAATACCTTATATATTTTGGTGCTCCTTTGTTTGGTGACTATATATTGAGGAGTATTATGTCTTCCTGATGAATTGTTCTCTTAATTATTATATGGTGTCCATTCCTTCCTTGTGTTATCTTTTTTAGCTGGAAATCTATTTTTTCTGAAAAAAAAAAAATTAACCATCTCTGCCTTTCTTTGTGTCCCATTCACTTGTTTACCATTCCTTTACTTTGGAGCTCAGGTATGTTTCCTTCAGACATCAGAAAGTTGAGTTTTGTTTTCTGAGCCAACAAGCCACTCTGTGCTTTTTGATTGATGAGTTTAGTTTATTTACGTTTATGGTGAGTATTGATATCTGAGGGTCTGCTGATGCTATTTTATCCTTAGTTTTCTTGTTCTGTCTTTTTCCTTCGGTTTTTTATTTTATTTATTTATATTTTTTTTTTGTGGATGTTGTTCTCTTTGATTTTTTTTTTTTTTAAGATTTATTTGTTTACTTATAAAAGCATTGGGTACAGTCAGAAGCTCAGGAGGGTGAGAGAATTCACCAGAGCCAGAGGAGAGAGCAGAGCAGGCAGACGGACGAAGTACACTGCTGAGGGGAGCAGCGGGCGGCAGGAGAGGTCTGCGCGTCATGTGGGACCTCGCAGGCGGCAGGGGATTGAACCGGCGCTGCAGAGGCTGCAGGCAGCTTCGCAGCCCAGCACTCAACCGCTGCGCCACCAGGGAGGCCCTGATCTCTTTGATTTTGATACAAGAGCTTTTTTTAACATTTCTTGGGATGGGAGATCTGGTGTTGGCAAACTCCAGTTTCTATTTGTCTGACAAGGCCTTTATTTCTCTCTCATATCTGAAGGAGTTTCCCAGGATAATTTTTGGCTGACTGCTTTACCTGAAAGTTAAAATTTTTGCAGGAGAGTTCCTGGCTGGCTGTTTTATCTGAAAGTATTTCGAATATGTCATTCCATTCTCTCTTGCCCATAGTATTTCCTCAGAGAAGTCAGATGGATGCATGATGGGGTTATTTTTATATGTTTTCTTCTTCTTTTCGCTAGCAAACGTCAATATTTTTTCCTTGTCTTGAACTCTTGGAAGTTTCATAGCTGTGTGTCTTGGTGTGGGTACATTTAGGTAACCATGTGTTCTTTAAGCTTCATGGACTTGTGTATTTAATTGCTTCTCCGGCTTTGACTTTTCCCCTACTACTTCTTTGAGTAAGTTCCTTCTGCCTTTTTCTTTCTTCCGCTGCTGGAATACCCAATTATTCTTATATTGCCTTTCCTCATGGATTTGGGTAGTTCTTGAAGTGTTATATTTTTTTTCCTTTGCATTTCTTTTTTCTTCCACCTAGATTCTTTGTGCAGTACCATTTCCAAGGTTGCTGATTTGACCTCCCATTTGGTCTATTCTACTCCATAACTTTCTCCAAAAAATTTTATTTCCTCTATTGATATTTTTACATCTTTTATTGCATTATTTTCTTATTTAATGCTTTAATTTCTATTTTTTGTTCATTAATTTTATTTCTCAGGATAATCATTTGTTTTTCTAAATTTTCTTGTTTATAGTTGGTCAGCTTTTCTTTGAATATCTTTATCATGGCAATTTTAAAGTCTGTTTCACATAGGAAGAAAAGATCTTCTATGTCTTTGTGACTGGATTCTGAAGATTTGTTCTCTCTGTGTAGTGAAAGATTCCCTTGAGGACTTAAGGTGTCATCTGTTGGGGTTTTTTGCCTGCCATTTTGTAGCTTTCCAGTTTGCCCTTTTAGCAGTCCTAATGGTGCAGAACACCCACTTTTCCAGTAGATGGCACTGTGGGTTTCTTGTAAATTTTCCTGGCATGGCATTTCAATATATAGTATGTTGGAGAGAATTGATACATAGCAACTGAGTCTGGGAGTGGGTGAGGGACCTGGAGGGATCCAGTTCCTCTTGAAGGTGGTATGTGGGGGTGGCTTGGGATTGTGGTACCCTTGATAGCCCTTCTTTCTGAGTTTCCACACCTACATCTCTATAGTGCATGGACCATGCTTTCAGTGCTGCTTCACAGGATCAGCTAGACACTTATATCTCTCCTCAATTAAAGGTGTATCTCCACACTAACCAGCTATCCTCTTCCCAAGACCACTAGTGAAACATGGGAGTACAGGATTACACTGCTAGCTCCCACTCCTGCTACAGTCTCTAGGAGACTTCTCTCCACCTATCTTTTGTTGTATGTTGTTGAATTTCCTCATTGTCCCTTCTTGTGAGGTAAGCATTGGTGTCTGATGTCCAAGAGTTTCTCCAATTTTTCCCCAAGTCATGGGTTCTTCTGGGTTTAGTGCCCTTCTGGTCTACTTTCAGAATATACTCCCAAGATTGAAGCAGGGAATGTCCTCCAATGCCATCTTCTCTCCTTATGGTGACTTTTTCTGATATACAAGGTTTAATTAATATTTAAGAATCTAAACACCAGATTATGGAAGTGTTTTTCTTAGCAGTATTTAAACGTAATTTATATTTTAGTATGTTTCCAGATACCTCATACAAGCAACTTTATGAAAAAAAGTGGTGACATAAAATTTCCTGCATTAATTTGAAGCAAATTGAATAGTGTGTGCCACTTAGTAAATAGGAACCACTAAGAATTTATTTTTATTGTCCTCTGTAAATACATATTTTAAATGAATTTATTAAACTATAAATACATTGCTTTTATTGCTATTGATGAAATTATAGATTCCTGAAGGGATTCACAAACTAATCATTGAATTATCTTTATTATTATTCCTTTCTCTGCGGCTAACATCTCCAGTATTATGCAGATATTGCAGTGGACAGGAAGAGTGGACTCAGGCCCCAAAGTTCTCACTGAACAGGGGAAGGTGTTTAAGAGGACCATCTAAAAGAGTAGACAGCAGAGTGTGATCACAAGGTAGAAGCTTCACGAAGAGGGGAAATGCTGCTGTTTAGAGACAGGTGTGGGAAGGAGAATCTTAGATCCATTTTGGTGGGAGTGCTTCAGTAAAAGGGCTGTTCTTTTAAACCAGGTTTCCTTTAGGGCTTGGAGGTAGACAGACTTCACTGACAAGATGAGGATGTAGGAGGTTGATTAGAATGGGATTACAGCTCCACAGGCTGACAAGAAGCAGGATAATTGTGGGATTCATGAGGGTCAAGAAAAGGAACAGGGAACAAGAGAAGGTAGGTCCTCTGCGTTGGGATTGAACATTTGCCTTCCTCCCCTTATCTGAAAATTTGTACTCAGTATGGTACAGATTCTAATGGTGCCTAAGGGTCCCAGGCAGTTTGATCTGTCTGAGATATTTGTGTATATGGGTCTGGGACAGTGGTGAAACTGAGGGCAAGATTTCCTAGGGGATCATGGAAGTTTTACTTTGATAAGTGCTTTTGTGCTAAGCTATTGTATATTTCACATTCTATAGCAATCACTATTAACAATAGTGTTCTTGGACCTCCCTGGTGGCGCAGCGGTTGAGCGCTGGGTTGCGAAGCAGCCCTAAGCCACTGCAGCGCCGGTTTGATCCCCAGCCCCTGGGCGAGGGTCCCACATGGCGCGCAGACCTCTCCTGCCGCCCGCTGCTCCCCTCAGCGGTGTACTTCGTCAGTCTGCCTGTTCTGCTCCCTGCTCTGACTCTGGTGAATTCTCTCACCCTCCCACGCTTCTGACTGTACCCAGTGCTTGTATGTATGTATGTATGTATGTATAGATAAATAAATAAATAAATAAATAAATAAATAAATAAATAAATAAATCTTTAAAAAAAAAAAAACTATAGTGTTCTTGGGGCTTCCCTGGTGGCCTAGGGGTTAAATCTTAGTGCTATCACTGCTGCCAGTATCAATCCCAGCCAGGGAATTAATCCACATGGTCAGCAGACCTCTCCTGCCTCTCCTACTGTTCACCTTAGCAGTGTATTTCAGTAGATCCACCTGTTCTGCTCCCTACTCTGTCCCTGGTGAATCCTCTCACTCCCCACGCCTATGGCTTACATCCCAGCTCTTCTACGCGAAAATAAATAAAATCTTTAGCAAAAAACAATGGTATTCTCATGAGTATAAAATATTCATTATTTACTCATGAACTGATCTGGTTGGACTCAGTACCTAAAGATCTTTGTTTTTTTTTTTTTTTCCCCCACTGAATTCAGGACATGCCCTATTTCAATTTATGGAGTAGGGCTGCTAGAGTGTTGCAGCTCTGTTATATTTGGCAGTGAGTAGAACTCATTTCTTTGAGCTTTCTTTGTTTTGTGAAGCCTGATGTTGAAAGTTCTCTTATCCCTAAGGTCCTTGGCTGATGATTGCTTTGTAACCACATCCTTCTAGCCAACATGACATAAAGCATAAAGTAATAGAGCTTGCCAATAACATTCAGTATCTCAGACTGAGATATTTAAGAAAAAAGGTTGAATTCAGTGACCCACAAAACCTGACTTTGGCATAAATAGGAGAGGAAAATATCAAGGAAGTCAGTGAAGAAAAAATGCAAAAGGTTTAAGTTGCAACACCATTCTTAAAGGCCATTGTTGGTCCCTTTTGTTGTTCTAACTTTTGAAACTGCTCTGACAAAAGTAAAGTAAAATAAGCTGTTAAAAAATAGAAATTATGAATGCCAAACTGGAAGTAATTTGTGAGTTTAGAATTTCATTGCAAATAAAACTGTCTTTTATGTTTTCAAAGTTTAGAGTTGAGATATTTCTTTAGATCCAGACAATTAAATTGGCAGTGGAGGATCATTTTTGAGATACAGTTATGAACTTGTTAAGAAGGATAACCAAGAAGCAGTCAACCTTTTAATGGCTCTAATTTTGATGTAACTTTAAATCTCAGGTAATTTTGGTCTTTGGGGTTTCTGTTTCTTCAATTAAGTTGCTATGCAAACAATTGCATATTTTAAGTGATATATTTATGAACTGCATTGACATTGCTCTAATTTCAAGCTCTACTTCTAACCAGTTTTTCCTATATGCCTTGTTGGCACTAGTCCTACAAGAAAGGTTTGGTTGGTTTTTTTTTGTTTTGTTTTGTTTCTTTTAAGCCATGGTCATGGACATAGGCTTTAATTCCTTTCTCTTGATTATTGGATTGATAATTATGTGAAACATTTTTTTTCTCAGAAAATCTACATAGTGGAAAGTGAAGGCAAATTAACTTATGAGGGGGAATTTAATCAATGTTTTTTGAGTTCTCAAACCATCTTCTGTTAAATTTCAACTGCTCTTGAAAAGAGGCTGTCATTAATTTGGTCATGGTACTGGTGCTTCACAAAAGACTTTACACCAAGAAATCCTTGCCACCAGAAATGATCAGTAACATTTCTATGGTGACTTCTCATTTTGTTTGCCTTTATCAGTCCCACATGGGAGATTCAATGTAGTTGAGCCCAGAATGTCATTTATATGAATCATTAAAAAGTTTTTCTTTATCCTAGTGTCACACCCATTGATTTAATAGATTTCCCATCTAAAATTATACTAGACTTATTTTCCAGAAAAAACACATCTGGGCTTGTTAGGTCTCTATTCTAAATAAGAAGCAAGTAGACTCTAGGCATAACCATTCCATTTTCACTATCATCATATAGAGAGATCTGCTAGTCTCACTATGAAACAGATTATTTATCTTTATCTTTGTTGCCTTTTCATCAACCTTTGACTCTTGGAGCAGGAATCAGTTAAGAAATAAAATGCAGCAGCTCAATGTAGCCCCCATGTCTTATAGATAGAGACTAAAGTAGAAGCAGGGACTAAACAGTGGAAGTATTCTCTTATTGCATAAGAAAAAATTTGTCAGTATATTCAAATAGGTATAGGTTCCAGACTTACTTTTAGATAAACAGGTTACAGGTTACTTTTTTTTCCTGTCAGCCACCAAAAAGAAAAGACCTATGTCAGATATGTATGTAGTATCAGAAACTAAGATTGAATCCTGAAAGACTCTTAGTTTCATTCTCTATTTCAGGAAAAAAAAATCAGATCAGGGCCTCCTTGGTGGTGCAGAGGTTAAGTCTCAGCACTGTGAAGCTATCACCAGCAACTGCGGCATGAGTTCTACCCTGGCCAGAGAGCTAACCCACATGGCACAGCAGACCTCTCCTGTCTCGCCCGCTGCTCCACTCAGCAGTGTATTTCAATGGATCTGCCTTTTCTGCTTCCCACACTGTCTCTGATGAATCCTCTAGCCTCCTGCACCTCTGGCCTGTACCCCAGTTCTTATATGCATAAATAAAAATAAATCTTAAAAAAAATCAGATCATCTATTCCAAAATCTAGGTTTGTAATCAAGTTTCCTTAAGCTCATTGTACCTAAGATGCTTCTTTCTGGTGTACCTAAGATGCTTTTTTCTGGACATGACATATAAATCCAGAGGACACCTCTGGGTCTAGATGGCTTACTGAGCACACATGTTTACTTGCCAAAATTCCACTCTCACCTTCACTATGCCTGCTATCTAGTGGAGTAGAGATTAATTAGGCTAGGTTGTGGGAAATAGAGAATTTATTTTATTTGAAATTCTAAGTGGGAACATAAATAAACTTTATTCTAATACAATAACTTTAAAAATTGGCTATGCTTATATTGGTTTTATGATAACATTCTGTTTAAGCAGATTATTATTGTCAATCCCTCTAGACAATGAAGTGGTTGGGAAAAAATGGAGTGAAAATCTTCGGAAGGAAAACAAGTGCCAGATGCTGAACATATACAGAGAAAAATTTGTAATTAAAACTGTAGGAAAAGAAGTTTTGAAAAAGAAAATAGAATTGTTAATAGCGCTACAAAGGCAAATTCTGAGTGAAAAAAAGTTCCACTATAATCTCTACTACTACATTTGTCACTACAGAAGTAAGGTAATAAGGATTAATACCTTTCATTTTCTCCATCAAGACATCAATTTGTGAGTTACTGGCATAAAGATGATATGAAAGTATTGTGAGTGCATAAGCTCATCTGAAGCTATATTGTAGAGAAAAAAGAGAACTTATCCCAGGTACTGGGGGACAACAGTATTTAAAGGTTAAACAGAAGGATAGAGACACTGGAAGAAAACCAGTGCCAAATAGAATGCAGAATCACATAAGCTAAAAATGAAAAGTGTTCTATGAAAAAGGGACTGGTCAACTCTTCTGAATACATTAAAAATTGAAATATAGGGCCTCCTTGGTGGCGCAGCAGTTGAGCGCTGGGTTGCGAAGCTGCCCGCAGCCTCTGCAGCGCCGGTTTGATCCCCGGCTGCTCTCCGGCCACCGGAGGAGGGTCCCACATGGCGCGCAGACCTCTCCTGCCGCCCGCTGCTCCCCTCAGCAGTGTACTTTGGTCCTTCTGCCTGCTCTGCTCCCCACTCTGGCTCTGGTGAATTCTCTCACCCTCCCGCGTTTCTGATTGTACCCAGTGCTTGTATAAATAAATAAATAAATCTTTAAAAAAAAAAAAAGAAATATAGACTAAGCAATATCTGTTGAATCTGACAGTACAGAAAAACATTGGCGATTGGATAAGAGCAGGCATCTTAGGGTGAGAGGATAGAGGACAACCTGGAGTAGACTGAAGAATGAATAGGGACTTTCAGTTCTAGCAGAATGAGGATTGAACTACCACACAGAGAAATGCTAAATTCAAATAACAAATTACATAGTGGCCCCACAAAAAAGAAAGAGAAATTCCTAGGTTTCCCCTCCCCACAAAAACTAGAGTAGCATGCACAGGAACTGACATGAAGCAGGGTGGATCTGGGTCAAGAAGGGCTTTATCACCTAGAGAGACCCTGGGAGTTTAGGTTTTATTCATTTAGGGTAATCAGAGGGATGGTCTTGGCCTTTTGCAAGAAAGGAAGCGGGGCCTGAGATCTGAGCATATCCCTGAGATGATGTGATAGTTGCAAAGATGTTCTATTGTGCCTTACAGCAGAGTCACTGTTTTCTCATCTCAGTCCAAAGGCTTTAAGCTCAGTTTCCGGATCAGTGTTGGTTAGAAATCTGGGATGTGAGTGGTGACTATATACATTGAACTTCTGTGTAAATAGACTGCTACTTTATCTGATCTAGGATTCGCCAATGTCCCAATAACTGAATAAACTTTGGAATATAGAGTACTGATGGTGATTTAAAGACTCCAAAATATATTGTGTCCTCTGTGAAAAGATTTTTAGCTTAAATATCTGATGGGTTCCCAGTGACATT